ACTGCTGATGAAGGGACCAGACTAGAACATGTGCCGACATGTCCTCAGACAAAACGGTAAAAACTACGATTCATGTGATTCATATTGTTTTCTTGCCACCGGATCATGAGTGTCTGGAGAGGAACGCTTCAGCAGGTGGAGAACAAAACCTCAGAGGTTCTTTCCGTCCAACTCACTAAACAGCTATTTCATCTGCTCAAGCGTCTCTGATAAGCTTTTTATTTCCGCCCTGTGGCCATTTAAAACAGAACGTTTCAACAACAATATCTCAGGAAGTATTAGTCATGAAAGCCAGAGATTTTGATTGTTATTTTGATTGTGTTTATCGTGTAAAATAGAGGTATTTATAGAGATATGTGTGAAATATTAGACTGATATATGAAATACTTCAAGATGTTTTTAATTATTTGCCTGTTGACCCACTTTCTGCATTATTTTCTTGATTATTTCTTAATTGATTAGTTATTTGGCCATAAAATGGGGGGAAAATGTCGATCAGTGTTTCCTAAATCCCAAGATGACAAATAAAAACCGAAAGATTTTTACCTGCAATCACAGAATTTAGACTTTTGTCTTTTAAAAAAACAGTAGTCCATTAATCACTGCAGGTCGAGTCTATACTGAGCAAGTAAAGTGTCAGATGTGGTTTTGGCAGGTGTTTTAATAATAATAATTTAAAGGAAACAGCTGGTTTTAACCTACATCAGTACAGAAACAAACCTAACTGCGGCCTCATGTGGACTTTAAGCAGGCAGGAGCAGAGGGGGGCCTTCAAAGTTTTTTCTTTTATTTGTAAGTGTGTGTGTGAAGGTCTGTGTGGCACAAAATAATAAATAATGTAAAATAATACCCTCGGTGGGTCACATGATCCACCTATCGTCCCTCACTGCCCCGCGGTTTAGCGCTGCTAGCTAGTCTTCTACAATCTACAATTTCATGTTGCAGACTCTTTATCCGTGGTTCTGCAGCGGTATTCGCACAGTGTGAAGTGAGGTGAGCATCCTGTGTGTGCGTCCGACTGCTCACACCTCTTATCAGTCGCAGCCGCTAGTTAACCGCAGGGCGGGCTGAGGGAAGAAGGATGCCAGGCTTCTTTGTGTTCCTGTAGGTTTCCTTTGTCGTGGGCCAAGTGCATCGGAGAGATGTGTGATTTCCCTGTCGGGTGAGTGGCAGTGTTCTTCCTGTTTCTAGAGGCACTGAGGCACAGGTTATGTTATTTCACTAAAACTATGCAATGTACATTCACATAATCGTGGACTTTAACAATATAAATACAACAATAATAATCACTAGAAAAATCTGAGCTGTGATTTTCTCAACCTCTCATTGAAACACATCAGTACTTGTTTATAACGTGTAGATATATAAGATAAGACAAGATGTGCCTTTATTTATCTCACGGTGGAGAACTTCACAGTGTTGTTAGCAGCACACACATACGAGAAAGAAAATGCACACGTGGACAAAATAGTTGGTACCCCTCAGTTAATGAAAGAAAAACCCACAACGGTCACAGAAATAACTTGAATCTGACAAAAGTAATAATAAATAAAAATTCTGTGAAAATGAACCAATGAAAATCAGACGTTGCTTTTGAACCGTGGTTCAACAGAATTATTTAAAAAAATTAACTCATGAAACAGGTCTGGACAAAAATGATGGCAAATAATGTGACCATAGGGACATGTTCAATCAAGGTGTGTCCTCTAATTAGCATCACAGGTGTCTACAGACGTGTAACCAGTCAGTCAGCCTATTTATAGGGTAACAAGTCGTCACTGTGCTGTTTGGTGACATGGTGTGGACCACACTAAACATGGACCACAGGGGTGGCTCAGGAGATCAGAAAGAAAATGACAGAGCAGCACGTTAAAGGTAAAGGCTGTCAGACCATCTCCAAGCAGCTGGATGCTCCTGTGACACATATTATTCAGACATTTAAGATCCATGGGACTGTAGCCGACCTCCCTGGACGTGGCCGCAGGAGGAACACTGATGACAAATGGAAGAGACGAATAATACGAATGGTAACAGAAGAGCCCAGAACAACCTCTACAGACATTAGAGGTGAACTCCAAGGTCACGGCCCATCAGTGTCAGTTCGCACCATCCGTTGTTGTTTGAGCCAAAGTGGACTTCATGGGAGACGACCAAGGAGGACACCGTTGTTGAAAACTAATCATAAAAAAGCCAGACTGGAATTTACCAAACTGCATGTTGACAAGCTTCTGGGAGAACGTCCTCTGGACAGACGAGACCAAACTGGAACTTTTTGGCACATCAGCTCTACAAGCAAACATGAAGCATATGAAGAACAGAACCCTGTCTCTACTGTGAAACATGGAGGAGGTTCTGTTATGTTCTGGGGCTGCTCTGCTGCATCTGGCTCAGGGTGTCTGAATCTGTGCAGGGTCCAATGAAATCTCAAGACTATCAAGGTGTTCTAGAGAGAAATGTGCTGCCCAGTGTCAGAAAGCTTGGTCTCAGTCGCAGGTCATGGGTCTGGCAACAGGATAATGACCCAAAACACACACAGCAGCTAGAAACAGCCAAGACCGACTCAGAGAAAAACACTGGACTGTTCTGAAGTGGTTTCTATGAGCCCTGATCTAGATCCTGTTGAACATCTGGAAGGAGATGAAACATGGCGTCTGGGGAAGGCAGCCTTCAGACCTGAGACAACTGGATCAGTCTGCTCATGAGCAGTGGGTCTTGTGCAAAGTTGATAAGAGCACATTTACAAGATTTCTATATCATTTAATTATTTTTTACTTTATTATTATCACGACGATTGATTGGAGCAAATCTGTGACGACACAGTAAGTGTGTGTGTGTGTGTGTGTGTGTGTGTGTGTGTGTGTGTGTGGACCGTGATATGTGTGTTGTGACTCCCCGTTATATTCTTTATGAATATGCGTCGCTCCAGTTCAACCAGTTCTGTTGTCAGGTATGTTTCGTCTGGTGTTTCTAATTCGTGCTCCATGTGCCCCCTTGTAGCTTTGAGCGCCTGCCCCTCCAAAGTCCTCTGCACAGCCCTGAGTTTAAGCACAATGCAAAACAAAAAACGTCAGAACTGCAGTTTGCTGTTTCTTTGAGCCTCCGCCGGCAGAAATAGAGCGTCTGTGGCGTGTCAGTCATGTTGTGGGAACATTAACCCGTTTAAACAGTCACACTGCCCCCGTTTAGAGGACTAAAAAAAAAAAAAAAGCCCCCACCTTTAAATTCTGCCAACTTTAATCTGAGGACTTTGAGGTTTCAGCTACTCGTGGTTTTGGTGAGACTGAAGGAAACGAATGTAAGTCAGTGAAGTAATGGAAACACACCTCTGCGGGCGTCTGTCGAACACAACCTCCGTCACGTGTGCTTTAAATTCAAACTGCACAAAGGAAACGCGAAAAGATATCACACCAACGAGTGAGAAACAAACATTAACAAAAAGATATCCAACAACTTCTGAGAGTTCTTACTGTGATATTAATAAATATTCCTTGTTTGAGTCAATATTAATCTCTCAGCTGTGTTTAGTTTAACGCGAGATTAAAACTCTAGTTAAGGTCAGGTTGAGATTAACAGTTAAATATAGTCATAGTAAAACCGTGGACACACAGAGAATGTGCAATTTGTCTTCTTTATCTGATGTTTTATGACTCTTGAACACAGCAGAAGTGAACAATACAACCCTGGGAATTGGGTGAAATGCAAAAAAAAGCCCAGAATTGGTTTGACAACACTTTAGGAGAGTCAGACGGGCTACTGGGCAAATTAGGAGTCTGGACGGGTGAAGATGGGACTACACAGCAGACAGAAGAAGGAAATCAGATTTTACCACAAGGTTTTAGGAGCATCACGACATAAACAAAGCTGAATAATCCCTTTAATCTGTGCGGGCTTACGTATCCGCTGAGGACCTTTAAAGCACAGTTTAATCTAAATGATAAAGGGGATTTCTGGAAGCGCTTCCAGCTGAGGAGCAGCGTGGGATCTGGACTAAAAAGAGACGCAGAACGCCTCAATAATTTACAGGAAAAATGTCAAATATTCAAAGTAGAACTCGTGACAGCTGGAGACTGACGTGGCGGAAAGGATCTTGAGATTAGTGAGGACAGATGTAGGCCGGGCTACGAGGGAGACGATAGACGAGTCCAGAAGTATTACAGATTATTTTACACCACTGGAACTGTTTATAGTGAGCTGAAACTGCGACGCGTTGGAAAAGGGACTGAAAAATTCAAATCAAGCAACCTTTAACAGAATCCCTAAAGTTATGTGTCGAGCATCCAGGACTTCCTAAAGCAGAGTTTGGACTGTTGCAGCAGCCATCTGAAGCAAAGCTCACTCAATACGACGCCTTTTTAAACTTTACATCAACCTTTTGAACCCCAAAACCCACCAACAGGTTTCAAAGACGTGCTAACGTCTTAAAAAGTCGACAGAATTACCGTAATGTCTGGACTAGAAGCCGCTGCTTTTTTTCACACGCTTTGAACGCTGCGGCTTAAACAGCGATGCGGCTAATTAGTGAATTTTTACGAATTTGCCTCGAGACCAAAGTGACCTTGAGAGCAAAAGAGAGACTGAGGAAGTGATGAAGTGATTCTGAGGCTGTTCAACTCCTGAAGACACTGAAGAAGACGACTTCAGTGGTTTTAGTGCAGGAGGAAGATGAAGATAGCGACTTCTCCTGGTAGGCTGCTGTAGTTTTTATTTTCTTAATCAGCTGTGTTACAGGAACTGTTCAGAAAAAAGCATTTACGTATTTGTGTATGTTACTGCTACGTATTTAATTTAAAGTGCGGCCTGTATACGTACAAAACTGGTTTTCTTTTTAAACGTAGTGGGTGTGGCTTATATTCAGGTGCTCTCTATAGTCCAGAAATTACGGTAATCAATTTATCTGAGACAAAAACCCTAAAAAGAGAAATAATCATGTTGACGGTCCTTGAACTAATCGTGTGTGATGTGCAGCAAAATAAACCAAATCTCAGCTTAACATTGTGACATTTCATCAAAATCACTTTATTGGTTTAAAAATCGCCAGAAATACAACATTTTCACGATCAGATTCTATAAAAAGTGAACAATCTGTCGCACAAATGAGGACCGCAATCAGTCACGTAACACAAAGTCAGAGAATGTTGGGCTGAGCTGCAGGCGGCGTTTCCACACAACCAGTTAAAGAAGAACAATAAAATACAAGTCTGTGCAAATAAACAAACAGCTGAGTCAGAAACACAACGTCTAGTGGCTCCTAATTACTATGCAAAATATGCAACTACATACATCTATATGTAATGAGCATGAAGTCACATCTAAATCCTCTGAGCAGATGGCGATATGAAAAGCCTCAAAACGGAGCCCTGCCTTCACTTAAAGGTTTTTTATTTGACAAATAAAAAAAAACATGAAGCAACAGCACCTTAACCTTTGACAGAATTTCAGTTCCTTGAAAATAAAAAAGCACTCGTGCTTGTGTTATGGTCGCTTGTGGTTGAGAAAACCCTGAAGTGACTCTGCTGCTCTGTCACCTGACGGTTGGTGAACAACACAACGGCCAAACAAAGTGTGACCAAACGCCACTCCCGTGTCTAATTCAGGCCGCTGTGGCGGATGACGACCAGAGATTGGTATCAAACCACAAGACTTTCCCAACAAGCAATGAAGCGCTTCGACAGCAGTCACCTGAAAACATTAACTTCAGCTGTAAACATGTGAAACGAGTAAACATTTTATGAACTACTGAACAAACACGTGGCTGTGGATACAGAGGAGGGAGGTTAAAATAAATACAATGAACAGCAGGCTCGCTGTGATATTTAAATAAATCTAATAATAAAAGCAACCATTCAGTCAAACGAGGCGTCGGCTGATAATTACATTAATTCAGCTTGTTGTGGAAAATGAGTTCCATCGTTCCACCTGAACACGAACAAACAGAGCGACGAGTTAGTCGTGTTTCTATTTGTCTGTTTAACTGACGGCAAACTAGAAATGTGGCCTCAGTCAACCATTTTGATGTAAATGTATTTCAATGTAAATATATAATCAGAGAATGCAAAAGCCTTTAAATACCATCAGTGTCTCTATGTACAGAATATCTACAGAGCCACAGGGAGGCGTGTTTGGCTCGAACAGTGGACGTCGTACTTATTGAACTAAAGAACCCAAACACACACATTCCTGGAACCGTTTCCTCCACTTTTTCTACCCCGATGAGGATTTTGACCTCCAACACTGAATTTTTTTCCCTTTTGAGGCCTTGAGCTCAAAACGACGCCTTCAGGTCGCTGAGGAGGCGACATCTGTTGAGCTTTGATGGTAAATGTCACCAAACTAATGAACTAAAAACTCATGTCTTTGTTTGTTTTGGGTTTTTTTTACATTTTTAAACCAGAAAGTACCGTACGGGCACAAACACTGAAAATGTCTCGTATCAGCACTGAAGTCATGGAAATATGTTGGTTTGTGGACATTCAGCTTTCTTTTAAAGACGGAAAATTTAAGAAGCTGGAATTTAAAATAATTTAAAAATTACTCAAACTAAATAACTGAATATCAAAACAGTTGGAGGTTAATTTGACTATTATTAGATTAACGGTTGCAGCTCTTGTGATGATTATTTTTTCTAAGTCGGTATTTTCCATCCTGATTCAAGTCATTTGTAGCTAAACCCAAACCGCCCACGTTCATCACAGAGGACGTCAAATACTGCAAGTTACATAAACAGAAATAAATTCATTGGTTTGTTAAAAAAAAAAACAGGTGTCAGTATGATTTAAGCAGTGAATTCAGTTGGTTAAACTTCACTAAATGGTTTGAACATTCTCTGCTTAAGAACCGATCAGTTCGTTATCTGATTCACTTTTCATCCACTAATGCCAAATATTTGTTGATTTTAGGATCCTAACTGTGAACATTTGCTGCTTTTGGACAGATAGTTAAACTAACAGGAAGCCAGTCGCTGATAAAATATTGATTAGTTGAAGCCTCCTATTATTATTTTGTGTTTTTATATTATTAGTCACCTGCCAGACAAAAGTCCAGTTTCTTTGTTTACACCGATTAATCAATTATCAAAAAAATTGTCAGTGAATTCGACAACTGATCGATGCATCGTTGCAGCTCTACTACACATTGAAGTCAAGACTTTCAAACATCATGACCCAGATTCTTCAAAAAGTGGTTAATCGTCCACTTGGGGAACCTTATTTCACTGCTGGATACTGAAACTTGATGGGAATGGCGGCGTCTTGGCTGGAGTAGCTGCGTTCAGGAGACGTTGGAGCCGAGGTGAAGGCCGGAGAGGACATGGAGATGGAGACGGAGGTGGAGGTGGACGCCTGCGACCCAACATGGCCGCCGCACGAGCAGCCCGAGTCGTGGACGAGCCTCAGCACATCCTTCCGGAAGCGAACGCCGACCAGCGCGTACAGGATGGGGTTGAGGCAGCAGCGGGCGAACGCCAGCGTGCAGGTGATGTACTCCAGCACCGGGCCGCAGAACTGACCCGCCATCTTACGGGACAGCACCACGGTGTACGGCAGCTGGAACACCAGGAAGATCAGCACCAGCGCCACCATCAGCTTCAGGGTTCGCTGCCGGTGCCACTGCTTCCCTCGCCGGTTAGCGTGGCCTTCCCACAGCACACAGGCGATGGAGGTGTAGCAGGCCACCATGACGAGCAGCGACAGGCAGAAGATGGCGATGATGGCGCCGTTGGTGGCCATCTTGACTCGTCCGCTTATTTGCATGCCGCAGTAAGCGTCCGACACCCCAGAGAAGAGGATTTCGGGCAGACTCAGGAGCACTGCGACGAGCCAAACCCCGACAGCTGCCACCTTCCCGGCTGTTAGTATCTGACTGCGAAGCCGGAGCATCTCCTGAGCCCGGGCCACCACCATGTAGCGGTCGACGCTGATGCAGGCGAGCAGCAGCAGCCCGCTGTACGTGTTGATGGCGTAGCAGGTTCGCATCAGCTTGCAGAGGGGAACCGAGAAGATCCAACCCTGGTGAGTCTCGACGGCCTGCAGAGGCAGCGTGAGGACCAGCAGGAGGTCGGCCAGCGCCAGGTGGAACAGGAAGACGTCGGTCATGGAGCGAAGCCGGAGGCGGCGGTACAGAGCGAATGTGGCCATGACCAGGCAGTTCCCCACGACGCCCAGCGGGAAGATCAGGCAGAAAACGCTGGTCTGGAACATTCTGATGAAGACCTCCATCTCGCCGGCATCACACCAGTCGGAGGACGAGTCGTAATCTTCGGGCTCGGAGCCGTTCGTTTGATTCCAAAAGGAGAAGTTCAGATTGTAATCGGGCATGCTGTAATCCATTGCTGGTGGGAGAAAAATGAAGACTTTTAAACATTTATCTTCTCTGAGAAGGACGGCATCAGCAAAACACAGTGTGAGCAGATCTGTTTTCTTTTGTTAGAAAACAAAAGAAGCCAAAATTGCACAAACTATCATCACTGCGGCTGTAAAAATACAGAGAATAACTGGATTGTTAACTTTCCAACTGCCCTCGAACTTGTCGTTCCATCGGGAAATGTAAAATCAACTAAATGACTTCATTCTGATTTAAAGCGTTGCACCAAAAACAAGAACTAAAACTAAAAACCTAATCATTCTGAAGCCTTTAGTGACTCAACAGTCTTGAGACAAACATGTGACCTTCTTGGGTTGAACTGCAGGTCGTGTTCACACAAAGCGGAGCAGAGACGAGGACCGACACACTGAAAATGCTTTTTCAAGTTTTGTCAATTCCTTGTTTTTTCAATTGCTGCAAGAAAATAATCAAACAAACAGCGCTTTTGTTTTTTCCTTTTTAAATTTTTATTATTATTACGTTCTGACATCCTGCATCTCCACATGGTCCTCCAGCTGCAGTCTGTCAGACAGAAAAGCCCTGCAGAGGACAGTCAGAGGAGCTGAGAGGGTGATCAGAGGTTCCCTCCCCTCTGTCCAAGAACTTCTCCAGAGCCGCTGCAGGAGCAGGACCCTGAACATTGTCAGGGACTCCTCACACCCTCTCCATCAACTGTTTGGACTGCTGCCATCAGGAAAACGTTAAAGGAAGAACCTCCAGAATGATCAACAGCTTCATGCCACAAGCTGTCAGAATGCTGAACTGCTGACACTTGTTTATTTAAATTGCTTTAAGTTATTGGATCCTGAGGAAACGTTCTCTCATCCTGCCTGTACTGCTGTGTACGTACAGCAACATGGCGATAGACTGGATTACTTTGCCACAGTGCCCAGAAGACAAGTTTAATTGCCTCAAGTCGACTCGCTTTTTAAACTTTCTGATACTTTTAAACGAAGTGTAACCGACCCAGAGGACGTCCTGCTGCACAGCCTTGTGTTTACTGTCATTTACAGTCAGCTTGAGCCCAGACGGAGTGTTTTGAAAGTCATGAGTCATTCTGAGCTTCTGCAAAAATTTCTGTTCAAAAACATGCAGTGTTCCCATTTACACAAAGCCTGAGCCGGTTTTTGAGCACAGTTCAGTTCTGCACTTCACGTCACGATATCAGGAAATGCCAACTGTTGAAACAATCAGGCTGAAAGTCAGAGAGCTGCAGCTCTGCGCCTCACTTTGAGTAAGCACAGAGATATTTTAGTCATTGTGCAGCCGCTTGCGTGAGACTGGCATCAGGTCGTTGGCAGCAGGGGAAACTGTGGGCAGCTTCCAGGTCGACAGATCAGTCAGTGTCGCGTGCTAACAGCCTTCATAACCAGTTTCCACAATCACTTTTTTATCATTTCATCTGTCACTGTGTGCTTCTGTCTCCTCTGAGGCGACACACAGCTTTGAATTGAGCTCTTTTATGACAATATCTTTAACTTCTTTACTTGTTGGTGGCGGAGAAACATTCAGGAGTTTCCCTTAAAGGTAAGATGAAAACGCTTTGTGGACGGTCTTTGTTTAACTCTTCAAGTTCATCTCACATAACGGGGCAGAACAACAGCAGGGTTTTCCTTTTCTACTCCTGAAGTGTGGCTATGAACGGAGGATCAGTTTAGTTTGGCACAAAGTACAGACTGGACCGGAACAATAAGCAAGAAACGTCCTATCACCGTTAATCTGAGTCAGGAGGAACGGTCACCTGTGCGTCTAATGTGTTAGTTTTGCGGCTGTGAACGAGGACGTTGGCTTCTGTCTGGAGAATCGATCATGAACACTTCATGTGAGAGTTCTAACTTAATCAAACTAATATTTCAATTAAGCTCTAATGTAAACTCAGCCGCGGTTGTGTTAAATACGCTTCACACAAAATCTCCGTAAGTTTTAATTTAATTTAGAAATACGAGAACATTTGTTCTTTCATCGGCCGATACGAAAAACAAACGTCTCCTGGAACAGAATATAAATCTGAGTCATGTGTTTTCTGTCGGGCCGCGACCCAAACCGCCATCGAACGGCATCAAACTGCTTCACCTCATGTGCAGCTTCAAGTAGTGAGCTCACATTAATTCACTGCATCTTTCTTTATTTGTAATTCTTCCTGCAATAATAATACTAATACTACTGTGACTAATAATAATAATAATAATAATAATAATAATAATAATAATAATATGGCAATTCTCTCTCTTCAGCAAATTGTAGTTTATTTGACAAACGCAGGATAAAGCAGCACCACGTGGATCAGGGTCACTATTATTTATACGACACATAAATAAGAACATTCCTGCGTGTTTGACTGTCTGCTGGTCCTTCTAGCAGAAATATGTTGCATGCCAGTGATTCCTCTCGTCCTCCAGATCTGACTCATCGGGTTCTTCGCTCTGCCTTTGATGCCTTCAAGATAAATTAAACGCTCGTCTCTGCCAGCACTAATTTCACTTCTTGATATATAGCAAAAAATAAATAAATAAAATAGAAGAATCTGGCAGCATGTTTTAACACTAAACATCCAAAAAAAAGTAAATATTGAATTAGGTTTTCTGTATTTTAACAGCTGTATAACAGTTAGTGTTGCACTTTCAGCGCTTTTATTAAAACTGTTGCCGTGTTATCTGTGAAAGTGACGGGATTAAAAAATAGCGGCACACACCTTTATACTTTTTCTTCAGATTTAAATGTTAAATACACACAATCTAGTCATTACTCGACCTACTTTTAGGGCTCTTTGAAATGTTTCTATTAATTTTTTATGAACAAAATTTTACCTTTCAAATGCACAACAAGGAGAAATAATAATAAAAATAAAATTGCATGCACGTGTGCAGCGTTCCTTCGTTCTGCTTTATTTCTGTTTTTTCTCTTCTTAAATCAGCCAGTAAACAACTGTTTTGGTGCTAAGAACAAAGTTTTAAATTCAGAAACCCTCTTTAAAAAAAACACCTAACGGCTTTGTCGTCGTCTGATTTTGGTTTTTGATTTTTGATTTTTTGCATAATTTCATTTCGATCAATAAATGGAGCTGCAGTCCTGCACGGCTCTCTGACACATTTCACTAACGTTATATTGCGTGACAATATCGAGAAACACTAAATTCTTTACAATCAAGCCGAAAGTGAAATCCTCCGTGGCGTAACGAGATGCTGCTGTGAGGTTTGAGTGGGCACAAGTTATTCTTTTAGTCACCGCTCACGGCCGTGTGAGTCGCTGGCTGTCGGCCATGTGGGACGTAAGGACGGCGTCACATGCCGGCAGGGTCAGCAGGAAATCACAGTCTTATTATTGTTTTTTAACAGTTTTCGCAAGTCGAGATTGTTGGAAATTAAGTTTATTCGTCAAAACGGATGTCAAAGATGCCTGAGAGGTTGGCATTCATTCCTGAGCTGAATGTAAAAATAACAGATAAAAAAAAATAATAATTCAATATTTAATTTCACAATCTCGGGCAGTTTTCTCAGGCGTGTGCTCAGGCAGCTGACAAGATTAAATAACCCAAATCATATGAACGTGAGTCATACGTGGGCTCAGATTTGTGATGAACCACAACCACACTGTCAGACGGCTTCGGAGATGAATCGCATTTAAACTAATTTCACCTTTAAATCAGCTGCTGGTTGTGAAGCTGTAAATATACTGTAAGTAAAAATGGTACTTTTCAGCTTTGGTGAGAACTTCTTTGTGTTTATTGTAAAATCTCCCTTTTTGTTTTTCCTACTAATTTGTTTAGCTGCATTCAAAGCTTTCTGCCTGCACACCTCACATCACGCTCCATTTATCTGCACTAAATGCTCATTTTAAATTCCCTGCTGGCCTGATTTTCTCAAGGTGTCTTACCTGAGCTGTTGGAGGTGTTCAGCATTTCTTAAGTGTGGCTCCGGTGTCTGTTCACCAGATTTGTGGGGCTGACTCTCTTTTAAAGAGCCTGTGGGGTAATCTCAACCACCTCCAGCCAATGAAACCCGCTCTGTGTTTTGCTGACCTCGCCATACCCCTGTGTTGGTTGTTTGTATCACTGGCGGATGTGAGCTGAAACTGTTGAAGCGTTTCTAGCGCTGTCATGAGTCTGTGGGTAGCTGATGATCTTTCAGTCTGTCGCTGCAACGGCACACTTTGTTTTAGTCTCTAAGTATGTGAACTCACTTTTTGTTTTTTTATAGTTTGGCAGTAATTTACCTGCGACAAATCCCAAATATGCCCTCAGAAGGAGACCGAATTCATTAAAATGCATCAAGCTGCAGGTTCAAGCGGCGGACAAAACGTGCCCGAACACACCTGGGTGTGACTGCTGAGTGGTACTAAAACCAGTTCATAACCTTTTCCTGACTTCTGCTGAGGTTACATGATCGGTTCAGGAGTCATTCAGACACAAGTTTAACTCTTCTCCAACCAGACGCACAGTCACACTGAGGAAACCCTCTGAAACTCGAGCAGTTTGTGGGTGTTTTATTTTTTATTTTTTTGCTCCATTCATTCTTCTTTTACTGCAAAGTCCTGCATCTCTGTAGAAACAGCACAACCATGACTAGAAGCAAAGACGCCGCAAAAATGTGTTTTTATGCAACGTTATAATACAACAGATCACAAAGAAAAAGGTGAATTTCTATGACAAAAGTTAGAAAGGAAGAAAAAAGAGTCAAATGTTACGCTGGAAGCTCTGGATGCTTTATTTATTTCCCTTTTTAATTGTCTGCCTACAGAAAAGTCCTGCTGGGGTTTCTCGCTTAGACCAAAGAATGCAGAAGTTTGTTTGTTTGTTTTTTTTAACGCAGTTCTGATGCTGTAAAAAGATCAATTTCTTTCATTATTCTATTGACAAACATCTGACATTTTTCCAAGGCAGTGAACAATGCTGGGAAACAAATGGTGGCTCGACATTTATAGATGTTTTACTATTTACTTGTTTACAGCCTCTACAAACGGCGCTCTGCTCATCAGCTGTAGAAAGACGTTCCACCGCGCCGGATGTGTCTCCAACAACTCGACTCTAACATAAAACTGTCCAAAACGTGTCCAAAGTGACATAAAATTACCCAAATTGACTCGAGAATCGTCCAAAATAATTAAAAAACTGTCAAAAATTACTTGAAATTCGACCACAAAAACACAAAATTTGTCCATCATGACTGTTCGAGGGATTTTGTTTGTTTGTTTTGGACAACTTTAATCCAATCTTAAGGAAAAGAAAGAAGAAATGGAGGCTCCACATACCACCGGTATCAGCTGTAGGAAGATGCTCCACCATGTTGGATGTGTCTCCAACAACCTGCTCCTCTGGTCACTGGTTCTGAGCCGCGCTGCATTTATTTATCGATCCAGTAGGTTGGATTTTCCTCTCAGTCTCTCTATCGTCTCCTCTCTGCCTGGTGAAACACTGCCTGCAGTTCAGCTGTAAACGCTCTAATTGCTGGTCACAGCTGATGCGAAAGGTTTATTTTTGTCAACTCTTTAAATTAGGGATGTTGAATAAAGAGATCCCTAAAGGTCACCGTTGTTTTCACAGAGCAGAGCGGCGACACATATGGAAACAAATTAGAGATTTAAAGGGAAAAAAAACATGTGTCATTAAAAAAAACAAACGCAGAAGAGCAAGTTGTTGGAGGACACATTCAGCACGGTGAAACATCTCTGGAGAGCTGAAGTGCAGAGTGGTGTGAAGAACTTAGAGGCTGTAAAAATGTAAATAACTTTGTGAAAACGCCGATCTGTAGCACGTGAAGGCGACATGTTTATCCGGTATCGTTAACACGAATCCCAGGTTTTTTCAGGTTTTTTGTTCAAGGTCTCTTTATGTTGGATATCACTCAGTCTGTAGACATACGTTTTCCAATATTTTCTTTTTCCCGTTTTCTTCCCCATCCCACCACAGTAACACAAAAGCCACATAGTTGAAGAACAAAGGTTCACAGATGTGCATCGCAACATCGGCGCACAAGCAAAATAAACAAATAAACAACAAACAGACAGACACTGAAGTTAAAATGTCATCTGCGTTTATATTCTCCAAATAAGTCAGAAGCGGCTGCCAGACATCAGAGCGTTTTTGTATTGATCCCTTTGTGGAATAGAGAATCTGCTCTAATGGGATACAGTACGTGACCTCTTTGACCCGCTTCCATAGCAGGGTTGGAAAATGTATATAAAGTAAATCACAAATGAAATGTTTTAGTTTGTTTTTTTATGATCCGTAGCGCTCGGCACAGAAGACACGTCTGAGTTCTGTCTCCTTCTTCGTGCTGGCTCTGGTGCAGGACTTTATATTGCAGTGAATAGAACAGAACAGAACTTTGGTGAAAACCTCAGGGAAATGTCTGAAAATGAAAATGAAGCCACAGTGAGCAAAAATGAGACAGAAACACCCAGAAACTACCCGAGGTTCAGATGGTTGCAGACATCGAACAGGTGCACACGGTGCAGTTCTGTAATGGAATCGTCTGGTTTCTTCGTGACTGGTCGATGAAAACTGAACTGGGTCCCAGTAGGTCAGTGGGTTAAAGTCAATGTGCATTAATGTGAAAACGGGATTCTTTTACTCTAATCGCAGCGGAGGTGACAAACAACCATGCCGAGCGTCAGACCACAGGTTTTGGTTGGCAGACCACGAGAAACACGGGTGCAGGTTGCTGCTGTTGGTGGGAACGGTTGGCGTGTTGACAGCAGGGCGAACATGTTGACAATCCTGATCCTACTGTGGTTTCCTTCGCTTCTTCCCTCGTCGCTTGTTTGTGTGTGTGGTCGATTCAAACTGGTGTGAAAGTGCTGACCTACTATTCAACCTGCGAACAACAATCAGGCTCAACAGTCGCTCACATCCTGGGCTCTGATTATTTCAGCTTTTAAAGATTAACCACTTCATAAAACACAAATCAAGAGCGTGAGATGATGTCTGTTCTCAAACCAACAGCAAATTTAAACATCTTTTGACTGAACCTTTGCTTGAAGATGCTTTTTAAAGACTTTTAAGAGCCCTGTGGTGGGTAATCATGTGTTTCTAAAGGTCAATAAGTAGTAAATTAGCCTTTTTCTAAACATTTTGTAGAAGCCGATATGCATCTAGGCGCGTATACATTTTTGAACAGTAATATGCTACTTCCAGATGTTTGTGTAAAACACTGCATGTCTCAGATTCTTTTTTTTTTTTGTGCATATTTTCCCCACTTTAATGTTTATTGCCCCCTAAACCTAATAACTGGCCCCCGTCAGCAGCTACAACTGAAATCAAGTGTTTTCTATAGCTGAGTCTTTCACATCTCTGTGGAGACATGTTGGCCCGCTCTTCTCTTCAGAACTGTTTTAATTCAGCAACACTGGAGAGTTTTCGAGCCTTTTCAAGGTCATGCCACAGTATTCAAGTCCACACTCTGACTCGGCCACTCCAAAACCTTCATTTAGTTTTTTTTAAGCCGTCCAGAAGTGGACTTGCTGGTGTGTTCTGGATCGCTGTCCTGCTGCAGAACCTGAGTGGGCTTCAGCTGGAGGTCACCAACTGATGGCCGAACATTCTCCTCCAGGGTTTTCCGGTAGAGAGCAGAATCCATGGTTCCATCGATCACAGCAAGTCGTCCTGAAGCAGCAGAGCAGCCCCAGACCATCACACCACCACCACCACCACCCCCATGTCATGTTCTTTATCTGAAATGTTGCCCAGAAGTCTTGGGGATCATTCAGATGTTTGTTTGCCAAAGTAAGACGCGCCTTTATGTTCTTCTTGGTCACCAGTGGTTCTGGCCTTGGAACTCTGCCATGGAGGCCATTTTATCTGAGTCTCTTCCTTATTGTTGAGTCATGAGGCCTGCAGGTCTTCAGATGTTGTCCTGGTTCCTCTGTGACCTCCTGGGTGAGTCGTCGCTGGGCTCTTGGTCGGCCGGCATCCTGGGAGGGTCCACCACTGTTCCCTGTTCTCTCCATTTGTGGATGATGGCTCTAAATGTGGTTGGCTGGAGTCCTTTAGAAACGGCTTTATGACCCTGTCCAGGCTGATAGGTGTCAGTTACTTTATTTCTCATCTGTTCTTGAATTTCTTTGGGTCGCAGCGTTTAGTTGCAGATCTTTTGGTCGACTTCATTCTGTCAGACGCGTTCTATTTCAGCGATTTCTTGATCGTTCCACTCAAAGATTCTCCCTCTGCTTTAGCGCCGCCCAAGATGACTGTGATTGGTTTAAAGAAATGCAAACAAGCCAGAAGGTTTTGGTTTGTTTTTGTTGCCACATAGCAGAATAATAATGTGGTCCAGTCGAACCATTCTCCACAGAGCTCGACTGTATTAAAAAAATAATAAAAAGTTGCATCAAAAATCTGGCAGCAAGGGGCAGAAAAATCCATTAATAAACAGCTACATTTAAAAACTGTAAAAAAAAAAAAATGTGGAAAATAACGGCAAATATCTGCAAAATAATCATATTTTTAGCTGTTTTTAATCCTGTAAAACTGTGATTCTATGGTCGCACGGTGTAAAAGAACAAATTAACATTTATAAAAATACAGATTTCTGATGTGGACGTGCTTCGTAGGGTTTAGACTATTATTCAGGCTCGAGTGTCAACTCAAAAAAAATGTGAGTAGCTCCAGTTAATTCATGATTTAACAAGAGGAGCAGCTAGTTTTTCACACAGGGCCAGGGAGGTCTGGATGGCCTTTGTTCCCTTAAAACATTAAATCATCATTTAAAAACGTGTGTTCATGTTTTTAAACATCTAAGTGGGTGAATTCCAGACACTGCATTTCCATTTTTCTAACATTCTTTTGAGGAAAAGCTGCAACTAAAACAGAATTTATTACGAGTGAATCATAACGACCCACCAGGTAGGTGAAGCTGCCCTCATTTAACACTCATTTATGAAGCATTTAAAAGATTTACTAATAATTAAAGCAGCATTAATTACTGAATAGAACAAAAAAAATAGAACTCCAATCACCAAACTGTGTGTTAATCATTGTTTTTAAACATCAGACTCAAAATAGAAGTAAAGTTTCAGGAGTGTTTCATGAAGTTCAATTCGTCCAAACAAGATTTTTTTTATCACCTTGTAAATATAATGCGTAAAAGTATTTCTTTCCACCTTCATTTTATTTTTTTTGCAGCATTTTCAGTTTCATGTTCAGCTTTTGACCATAACTTGAATTTCACACTTCGTATTTCTTCATGTGAGAGTGACGCTGCTGCACTTTTTGTTTTTTGTCATCATTTATTTTGAATCACTGATAAATGCTCAGTTAACGTCCTTGAATGTGTTTTTGTTAATTCTATTTAATATCATGTCACATTAGTGGGAAAAGAAAAAAGCAGGAAGTGAGAAGCTGCGACCAGATTATTTGGGCGTTTTTTGATAGTTATTAATTAACTTGTGCAGAAATAAATCACTTCAAATACAATAAAAAATATACTTTAAATTCTGCTCGACTCATCGGAGCATTTCTAACTTTTGAGCCCATCAGGTGGTTTTTAAATCGTATTTAGTGTATTTACTCATTTTATTCAGTTTTTCTCACTTAGTTGCAGCTTCCTGTATTTATTTTTATTGCATATTCATTGACCGACCTGTTTACACGCAGAAACATCTGTTCAATCGTCTGCACTGAAGCTGTTCTGCCTTAAAGTTTGCTTTTATATTGGTGCAGATATTTTTTAAAGGTTTAAGGTGAATTGATTTTTTAAAGTCAGGCTTCAGTTTAGCGTCTTGTGGGGAACAGAGGACGGCATGAATCCGTAAAACCTCCGACGCGCAGATTAAATCAACGCACGTCCAACGCTGTAGCCTCTGCCATTCGCTAAATGTATGTTCAAATAATGGTTTTAATGTGAAATCCATCATTTATTCAGTCCTTCTGTATTTATAATCTTCTGCCCCGCCCGTGTTTGCAAACAGAGAGGACAGGAAATGTGAAGATTATACATGTGCACATTTCTGACAACGTCAACACATGAAATACGTCAGTGCTGCTGTACTGAGCTGCATTTTCTGATGAAGAACCACTTTCTGTGTAAACATGACAAACCTTTAGCCAGCAGTGCATGTTACATAAATGTTCTGTTTGACGCCGGAAACAGCAGTTTAAATAGATTTCTCTGTTTTTTTTAATGCAGAAATAATCTCTCGTGTGTTGTGTATTTAATATATATTTAAACAGCCTTCTGGAAAACAAGTCTGGTGTTGACTGTGATACGCTCAGATTGTGAACATTTCTTCCTCAGTCGGTAACAAGTGAAACAAGTGGGCTTTGGTTTTTGCTTTCGGGGACTTTTCTGAATCGGATCACTTCAGAAATTGTGAATCCTGCAGAGATGACGCTGCACTTTTAGTGTTGTTTTGGTTCTTGTTAAATCATCATTTCCTATAAAAACTAATGTAATGAAAGCTTTTTTTCTTCAGGCCAGACTACGAGCACCGAGCGCTGCAGCAGCAACAACAACAAGCAGAAGCCGGCTGAGGTTTTGTCGCTCTGCAGGCTTCATTAGAAAGCAGCTGTGCATCGACTTGAAGCTTCCTTCTGCCTTCACAGTGTGTGATTGTGAAACAAGAAGGTGTGAAGAGAGGAGGGCAGCGAGTCTTCACATATGGTGAGGAAAAAAAATCCCTTTCAGATCAGCTGAAGTCGGTGATATTATTTAAAATGACAAACGGCCGGCTGCTCACTTGAGCCACCGGAGGGTGAATTAAAACAGACTTCAGCACCAGAAGAACTCAAACTCTGGCCTGTTTGGTTCATTGCTGGATATTAGGCCCAGAAAACCAGCTGCTCTTTATTTCTGCTTTTGCGGGCTTCGCTGTTGACGGCTGCTTAACAAGCGTGAAGCTCTCTGAGGAAGTGCGTCGATACAAATACGGAGTTGCATCTACAGCAGACAGGTTTTTTCACCTCTTTTTTTTAAAATGTAAACCCCTTTTTTCATCGTATAAATGTAGGAAAAGCTCATTACACCCAGAACACAAACTATTTCTGGTATTTAGCGCGATCGTTCCATAACATTTTATCAGACACATTTTGTCTCAGGGTCAACTCTCATAATTCAGCCTTAACACTGCTGTGATATCTCATATATGTTTTCTGAGTCGTCTCGATGCCTGATACAGTCGACTGCGGGCAGGTTTACTCTGAGTGGATCGGTGGTAGCTCGATGTGTGGGCAGCTCACACTTCTGAGTTTCTGTGTCTGCTTTGAGTCAGTCTGTCTGAAGTCTTTCCTACAAACGTCTTCTAGCAGGTCAGCAGGAGAAACGTGTTCCTAAAGATGTTAATTGTCCAAGAAATCTGAATTACTGGAAATACTGCATGACTAACACATCTGAAGACACACAATAAAATGATATAATAACATATATATTGTGTTTGTAACCCTGTTTACTGTAAATCTCTGCAGCTGTTGTGCTACAGAAAAAAATGTTGAATTGTTTTTCTAATTTGACATTTGTTTTCATGTTTATTTATTTTCTTAAGGTCTTATACAAATACCATTATTATTATTATTATTATTATTATAGATGTCAACAATAGAATAAAGAAAATCTTTCAACAAAAAAACTGTCTGTCCTGTTTTTTTTTTTTTAAGAAAGTAGTTCAAAAAAATCATTACTTGATTAATCAATAATTAAACGAGTAAATATAATTTCATTTTAATTTTAATTTCAGCTATTTCTCCATCAAATGTTACGTCGATGTAAAAAAGTTTAGTTTAAGTGTATTTTTCCTCAGCTGCTATCATTTAACTGGTTAAACGTCAGATCATAAAGTTGCATGAAAAAAAAAGTCTTTGTTTACCAAAAGAAACCACAAGAAAACAAAACTATAAATATCACACACGTTCTCATATCCTTCTACATTGTTTGATGTTTAAATTTGATTTGATTTATTTATTTCTGCTTATTTTTTTATCCCTTTCTCTCTCTCATATATATATATATATATATACATACTCATATATATATATGCTTATTTCTTGTGTGTTTTATTCTTTATTCTTGTTCATCTTTTTAATATTGTTTCGCTGTGGAACAGGTGCACAAAGCCTTTCACTGCATCTTACATCATGTGTATAACTGTGGTTGTGACAAATAGAGGACTTGAATCCTTCAATCTCTGAATTTGACTGTAAATTTATATTTCTTTTCTTGTTTTTACTGGTCTACTGTATTGACATCGGCAGAAATTACAATTATTGTACAGATATTTGCAGTTACTGTCACTGTTTTTTATCTCTATTTTTTGGGCTTTTTGCCTTTATTTTAGTGCAGTAGAGATAGACAGGAGAGGGAGAAGAACGGGGAGAGATCCACAGCAAACGGTCGTGAGCAGAAGTCGAACCCACAACCGTAGGTCAGGGAGCTCCAGCCCGGTTCATGGGTCGCCCCTATAGCTCGATTAGTGGAGCTACAGGGGCGCCCAGCTGGTTTTTATGGAATAGACCTGGAAGATCTGCCAATATGGGGCTGCAGATATTTCTAGACAACCTTAGAATAGAATAGAATAGAATAGAATAGAATGCCTTTATTGTCACTATACACATGTACAATGAGATTAAGAGCAGCTCCTTCAGTGCCATATAGAATAAAGTACAAAATAAAGAGCAAAAAAAAATAGAAGAGATTTAAGTATAAAATGAGATAAGTTATATATATAGTGTACAGTATAAGTTATATGTACAGTATGATTTAGAAAAATATTGCACAGCATGGTCAGAGGTGATATTGCACACATTTCCTATTTACACTTCATTTATGTTGAGTATTTTAATTTTTTTTATGTTTTTTGTACACTGAGATGCTGACAATGAAGTTTTGACTTTGATTAAACATTCAGTTTACATGCACTGAACCCATTCTCCAGCTAAAACCAGGTTTCTGACGAGGGACAGACGGGTCATCGTGGCCGATATTTGGCCTTTTTCTGTAAATTATTGGCTAATTATTGGTAAACTAAATGCACCCCCTCTTTGTCGAGCAGAGACTGTAAAAGCTGTGCAAGAAACCAGGAGGTTAGCTCCTCTCGCAGTGGCTAAGGCTACGCTAACAGCTAGCAGCTAAGTTAGCAGGCAGCCACAGATTAACCTGAAACAGAATCTGGACAACAATAATTAATGTTAAGATCTTGGTGAGCAACAAAAGTGACAGAACAGTGACGGATTAAGAAAACAGAGCAGAACAACAGGAAACACACTGATCAGTTCATCTCATAAACAGAGCAGAGTGTCCTCATTTAATCGCTCCTCTCTCTGTTTTCCATATTCAGTCCCTTATTAAAGAAGAAGTTATGAACGACCGGTTCTCTGCTGTCACATGCTGTTCAAACATTTCGTGTATATTGGCTCTAAATATCAGCTACTGGCCTCGCTTGGTGACATACAATCCCTATTTCTGACATACGCTGACTTGCACAAACACAGAAACGTCCTAACCAGGATACTCTCGTCCACTCAAACCCACTCAGATAACCTTCGACATGCTGCAGACGTCTGAATGCCAGAACTCGGCTTCCTGTCTCCGCCGGCTGAGGTGAAGACAGGCGCCATTACAAAAAGCTCTGACATCCTGCACATTAAAAACCACAAAACACAGGACTTTGTTGTTTTTTTCATACTTCTGGGTGTGTGTGTGGCTGTCTGGGGCATACACACTTTAAATTACCTTTACAAATGTGCATGAATTCACCTGAAATTTCGCTGGAAATACAGTAAAAGTTTCACACATTTTTTCAGCGTCTGCATCCACAAATCAGATCTTTGTGCGAGGCCACAAGACGCTGTGTTTATGTGCTCTAAGTCTATCTTTCAGGCCGCGCCGGCTTCCTGATCGTCCGTCCAGACAACCGCTTTCGCTGCTGCTAAATGAAGAAGGAAATCCCAGAGCATTTTTCAGCAGCTATCCAAGTACGTACAGGAAATTGGGCGTGCTGCCTCCGCTCGCCGGCTTCACCACCAGCACTGGGACAGTCCCACCACAAACCAGGAGCTGCAGCGCTTCGTATTAACGTGCGTTTAGGAGGAGCGAGGACATACCAGCGCTTCCCCTTATTCGCTCTGCGCGGCGATAAAACGTGAAGCTTGTTAAACCACAGCAGACGACTGAAACTAACACACTCGATGTTTTTCACACTGTGCAAAACTGTGTCACAAATGTCACGTTTCACCTCAAAAAAACGCTCAGCGGTTTCCCGAAACAGGAGGAAATTTGTTGGTACAGGCAGTGCATCAATACGCATTTGGTTCTGTGGTGAGTATTTGTGGCTGCAGGAGTGTAGGAGCTGACCTGGTTCAAAACAAACGGATCTTGTAATTATTAATTTGTTTTTATCAATCTATTATCAGTTTTTTCTTTAAAATTTACCAAAAGCGTCATCTTCAAACGTCTTCTTTGGTCAGATCAACAGTCCGAAACCCGAAGACGTTCAGTTTAGCGTCACGTGATGAAGAAAAGCAGCGAATCCTCGTGTTTAAGGAGCTATAAACAGCATGCATTTGGCATTTTTGCATAATGATGTGCATCAACATTGGCTCAAAGTTAATACATAAATGGACTGATTGTGGGTTTTTTTTAAATCTTCCTTCCAACCACAAAAAAAAAAGTTTAAAAAGACTTCTTATTGTTATATTTATTATATTTGAAAAGCTAGAAACAGCACATATTTGTTTTTTGTTTTCTTAAAGTGAATAAGAAAACCTTTGCACCATCAATCTTGGCTCAAAGTGAACACATCAAGCTTAAAAAAAAGCAGGATTTTAGAAACACGGAGGTCAACAGATCAACTTTCCACCTACAAAGTGCTCGATTAATCTCCGTTTATAATACGTAAAGCTGTTAGTAACTATATCCAGTTTGCTATAATGTGTGACGAAGAAAAACTGAAAACATCTGGCACGAACACATCGACATCGGCTCAAAGTCAATACATCCAACTAGACAGAATTTTAGAAATTACGAGGTTAAAAGGTCAAGAAAGGTTCGACACAACAAACTCTGATATGTCAAACTATTGTGAATATTTTTAGATCAGGAAAAGCAGCACATCCTCATATTTGGGGAACAAGAAACAGCAAATCTCTTCTCTTTTTTTTTTGGCTGAAACGACGACTGAAACCAAAACGTCGACTCACTTGCGGCATGAAAGTGATGTTTAGTATATTGGTGAATGGCAGAGGAGCCCTATGACACAACATGACATATGATGCTGCAGATAGACGCCTATACTCAGAAATGATTGCTATCAGCAGCCTCATCGCAGCTGCAGCCGATGTGATCAGTCCAAGAGCTACAACACTGCTGATAAACGACACCCACGCTTTAGCATGATGAGGCTTATGGTGATTTCCAACAGCGTCACATTAACTACTGTAGTCAAGTCAAGATAACAGGACAGTATTTTGATATTCTAATTGGTATTCTGATGATTTCATATCATCCTAATTTGTCACATGATCTGCTTCTCAGAGGAACCATGCAGATCCCGTCACATATGCAGCTAGCCGGTCCTGCCTGGTGTTTCCCTACCTGCATGGTGGCCGGGGGGCTGTTACGGTGGTCCTCGGTGCCATTGGGCTGCCTCTCGTCCCACAGAACAGTTGCACCACCTTCAAAAGGATCAAACACGTTGGAATGAACAAGTATGTTCCTTTTGCTTCTGGTTAATTAAATGTTTCAGGCACTTATCAAGCAGAAATGTCCTCTGTAGGGGTGTCCCAGTCACGTCTTTTGATCTGTTAGAGCCATTTAATGTTGGATTAAAAGAAGTTACCAATAAGACTCTTGTTTTACAGTGCGGTATATGCGCTGTAGCAATTATTTTATTCTCCTGTTATGAGCAAAAAGGGACACATTCTGAAGCATTAGATACAGCTAGTGCTCATTTCCAATGGTGACGTACCCGGTTGTTCCACCAGGTGGAGCCTCTAATTGTTGGATACTGTGGCGTCGTCAAAAAGAGAGGATTGTGGGCGTTTAGCTAGTAAAGAGCCACCATGACAAAGACTCTGGAGACGCTTAATGACCTCCAATCTGAGCTCATGAGTTTGAAATAATGTGGGAACCACTAGGACAACGGTCATTCCACCTAAATTCACCTCATGGCTCCCAGATGACCATTTAGAATTGAGTTGAAAAAAATTGGGGATGAAAGTTTATCATTAAGATGAAGTTTTTGGGGCATAAGTCCACAAAAAAATAATGAAAAAAATTCATGACTTTGGTTGAAAATATCTAAAGTAGTATTTAAGGTACAGACTTCAAATTTGAGGACATATTTGCCCTCTGCTAGAGGCGCTTAAATCCTACAGTACAGGTACCTCGATGCATATGCTGAGATTCTACGGTCTGTTCAATGGAAGGAAATATTAAGACCGTCTTTGTACACCCGTAAAACAGACAGGATTTACATCAGAAGTCTGAAATATTTGCGTTGCATCGTCCAGTGTGCGATGTTTCCCACTTTCATGAAGGCGACACATAGAGCCTCTGAGATACTGACCCGCAAAAATGGTAAGTGTCACATTTTTGCTCAACGAATGACAGATTACACTGACACATAACTGAAGTCATTTGAAAGAGAACGTTCCTGACTTGTTGTGGTAAAAAATAATAATAATAATAAAAAATCTAACTGTGATCTTTTTTCAGGTGAGTTCATTTGGGCTAAAAAATGCAGATGACTTAAAAGCGACCAGTCAAAATAATGCGCTCAGCCCTAAATCTTTAGTTCTAGCTGGTATTGGTGCAACAAGGGATCTACTGATTATCAACATGGAAGATCACGTTTATCAGTACCATGTTTCTAACAGATATATGAAGGCACTTTGTTAGCTCTGATGCTGCCATCTGTTAAAGTCCAAGCTGCCGCCCAGTCTACATGTTTATCAGCATCTTTCATCACCGCCACAGAACTGAAGCACTCATGCACGTCCCCACGGTCAGATAAAGAGGGCTGGGCTTCTCCTTTAACCGGCCGAGCCTTCAGACGTCTGACCTCAGACCTCGGCTCTGGTCGGCCTCGGAGGTTGTGTCATCGCCCACCATGATCCTCTACCTGCCCTTCGCCGCTCTCATCCTCGTGTCTCGCGTCGCATGTGACGCTTCAGGTTCAGTCGGCATTTCCTGTTTTTTTTGTGTTTGCTGCTTGTTGCCGTGAGTGCTCATTGTTTTCCCCGTGTGTGGGATTGAAGAAGGAAAAAGTGGCAGCGAATGAAAGTCTTTTTTTTAAATCGCTTGCTTAAACTCGCTGGTTGAATCTGTGTCTGCAGGTATTGTGGATTTACAAGCGCTCAACGTCACAGAGAGGAATCAAACATTCACGTTGTCCCAAGACGTCAACAGTAAGTTCTGTTGTTGTTGTTTTTTTCTTTCTCAAACAACAGCCCACAATATTCTGTCATCGCTAGGGCTCGAACTATAATTACTTTCATTTTTGATTAATCTGCCAAAAGTTGTTTGTCCATAAAGTGTCTGTTATAATCTCCCAACATGTTCACTTTACTATTCTAAATGACAAACTCAATATTCACATGTAAGAAGAGCAGCAAATGCATTTTTAACTTAAAAAAAATAAAAATAAAATCAATTCAGCTGCCAAATAACCATCTGTCAGTTGACTAATGGCTCAATGAAATATTCACATGTGGATTCAGAGAAGAACCAGGAGGCCGCTACTTCTGGCAGAAACTATTTTAATTTGTCAAAATTGTAGTTAAATTAAATTTCTGCCACTATTAGTCTGTAAAGAAAGGCAGGCCGTCATGGGAAAACATTTTCACATTCTTATCCTGAAACTTTGATTGTTTTCACTTTCTGTTTTGTGCAACAATTGTCTTGGTCTCACCTGTCAGTGTGTATCTGCACCGGCAGATAGAACCACTCAGTTGTTAGCTCAGGTTAAATCTGACATTAAAACGTTTTTAAACCTATTGTTGGTCACCGTCCTGCCTGAGTCAGTGACGGTGACTGAGTGGAGATTTGTCCGTGCACAGCAGCCTTGAAGTGTCAATTGTATTTGTATAGCGCAGTTAACAACACACGTCATCTCACAGCGCTGCATATTGTACAGCATAAACCTTACAAAGCTAAACAGAGAACCCGGCAATCCAGAGGTGCCTTTGGACTCCCTCTGAGCAAGCAGTTGGCAACGGTGGGAAGGAACCAAACTCCCCACCCAGGGAGGGGGGCAGAAAACCAGAACCAGGCTCAGGGAAGGCGGCCATCTGCCTCGACCAGTTGGAGCGGTTATAAACTGTCCACCTCTAAACTGCACGAATCTCTGCATGCACATCAGTCACGCTGCAACACTCGCCACAAGTAAATCCTCCGCTTGTGGGAAGATTTGGTAAAACGGCAACAGAAACAGCACAAAGCGTCGACTTTCTGCATTGTAATATGAATAAAGGACAACGTCTCTAAGGAACTCGTCGACTCACAGGGATGAAAATGAATAACTGGAAACTGATTCATAATTTGATCAGTGAAAAAATGCATTAACTAGGGCTGAGACTTTAACACGCTAATACAGATGAATTAATATCAGGGGAAAAAAATATTTCTGACATTTTATTGACCAAATGACTGAGATTAACAAATTATTAACAAATCACAGGGTTCAAAATGAAATGTTGTGTCACACAGTTTATGAATCTACTCTAAAGTGAGAATAAAGTGGTGAAAAGTGAATCTGTCAGGAGGAGAAGTTAGAGATTATTTCCTCGGCAAACTGATCGTAGCTGAAACAAACTGAATTGAATTCTTCTTGCAGATACAACAAAACCAAACAACGCGACGTCCAGTTTGTTTGCAGACAACAAGACTCGGATTGAGGATGAGCTGGAACGCAACGGGACGTCTGCAATCACAGAGGAGGACGGTGAGTCGCAAGACTACTTATTCTGCATGAGGACAGGAAACCCCCCGTTCTTATCAGTCCCTTTAAAGTTCCTGTTCTTAGGAGGTTGTGCATTAAGCAGCTGAAACCTTAAAACTGTGCGACGAGCTACCAGCAACCCAGTTTCACTTTCACACAAAAGCGGAGATAAACACTCGCTGCTCGACGAGCTCGTAACTTCTCGGAATAGTATTTTTCACAGCGAGACACTTTAACTGATGTAGGCTAACAACTTAGGCTTGTGTTTGTGTTTGTGCGTCCCTGTCTGTTCATGTGTTTGTTTACTTTGCAGAGGGTTTCCAGGAGCAGGAAAATGAGTTCCCAAGCCGACACTGTGATCAGTACCAGCTGGTCCATTTCAGTCACAACTATTGTGGAGAAAATTTTCACCAGGAAATGAAGGCAATCAGCAGCGAAGAGTGGTGCATCCTGGAGAACGTCATCAGGTAGTTCACTGGCTTGTCTCACACCGATATTTGTTTTATGTGTTTCGATTTTTCACTTTCAGAACCTTCTGTTATGCTTTTGAAGCCTTTCTTGAAAACACAATATTCCAAAAGTTTGACCAAACTTTTTGTTGCCATACTTACAATCAGTTTTATGACCGAGTAGGTGTTCACATAGAAGGGATTTGACAGGATTGTGGCTCAACACAGCAAATGAGACAAAAAGACTAAAAGACAGCAAGTGTTGTAGGTCAGATAAACAGAAATCCATGACATCTGAAGTAATAAAAGAGTAACAGAAATATTTACAGTGTAGTGAC